ATTCTTCCGGTACGCGCCCTTCAAATGTACACTTGTGCCCAACGATAATAGCTGTGGGCGCGGCTAGAACGAATTTTGATGCGGAGACGGTTGCGCCTACATTCTCCAAGCGCTGAAGGATGCGATTAACAACGATACAATGTTCCCATATGAAGCGTCGGATTCCTGGGTTTTCTGGTATAGCCTCGTATGAACCGTCTTCGCGCTGATAGCGCGTTCGTACCGATTTGATCGGGACGTCATCCACGAATGGCGACGTGAACTCTGGGATCTCATGTTGCAGAATGAAGGCGGTATCGCCTTGGTAAACCTGAACAGCGTTAGCATGCCCTTGAGGAAGGGTGGTTAACCGGTGAGGACCCAAGGGTGTCCCAAAGGTTGTTAGGTCGCGCGAGTCCACGTGAAGCGCGCGCTGGTCATATCCTGAATATAAATCCAATATAGCGTATACCGCGTAACCCGCAAATGATTCTGCGAGAAGCTCGACGAACGGGGGAAGTGACGCGTCACGAATCGTTACCGCGTTGAGTGGCTGCAAATCGTGAACTAGGCGCAAGGATTTTCCGTCTTTCTTGACGACGCAGAACCAGCGCGAGCGATACGCGGCTGTCGATGGCTCGTATACTCCTGATGCGATCTTTTCCTTGATAATGCGCACGACTTCATCTAAGGTGGCTGGCGGGATCGGAATATTGCGTTGAGACCAAGGGGTGTGCGGAACCGTAGGGATCTTGTAAGGCGGGAAGCAGGTTTCATTGAGGCGCCCGCGCTCTGAGGCATCCCACGCAAAGGCGAGTTCATGGACGCGAACTAGCCAGCGCACTAATTTGAGTTCCTCTGGCCAAAGCCAGTTCGCTGGATCAAGGTCTAGTTTGTCTGCGCGCTCCTGCGTGAAGCGCGCGCCTGGAGAGAATTCTGGGAGATGGGTCGGTAAGTCGGGTAGCCCTGCTAACGGGTCTTTGGGCAATTGGCGCACTACTCTATACTCTGCGGGCATAGTGGTAGGCACGGTGCGCACTTTCTTCGCGACTGGTTTATAGACCAGCGCGTGAAGCACGGGATCATAATAATAATGAGAATTGAAGGCGTCGATCGTCGCCTGATCTATAATGGACTGCGTGGATGTTAGATGCGCATAACGCGCGGAATACTGCGGAATAGATGATGAAGAAATTTGATGTATAACTACAGGAGGTAATGCATTGTTGCTCCTTAAGAGCGAGGGATGAGGAGCGCCTCCCGCGCGCGCGATGCGCAACGCGTCAGGCGCCATGCGAGAAGACGAAGCGTGATGCGATAAAGAAAATGATTGAGGAAACAAGTGCATATAGGCGTCTCCCCGCAAATGCTGCGGATCATCGAGACTTAAAAACCCTTATCCTCCTCCTTGAGCGCGTGCGAGTGCGCTTGGTTAGCGCACTTCGCGTCTCTTGCGAGCGAATGCTTGACCCAAGGTAGGGTTGGAATGCGCAGTTCCTTGCGCGCATTAGGGTCAGTCAGTAAGAGGTCCTGTTCCCCATCGGGGAGATCAAAGGTGCGACATGAAGTAAGCTTAAAGAATGGGCGCCCTAGTAAAACCTCGAAGGTCGCGCGTTCGATGACTTGGACCTGGAAGTACAAGGGCCCTGCGCCAAAATCAAGCGGAACGTTCTCCACAACACCTAGTGTCGAGTCGCGCGACGTATTTACCGATTCCATGTTAAGGCTATGGTCCGATCTGAGCGGTACACCGAGCTCCTTCCATACTTCCCTTGGCATGACCACTACCTCGGCGCCTTGATCTAAGACACAAGTGAGAGTGCGGCCTCCTATTGTCTTTGCGCGTATACAGCGCAAGGGCGCAAAGTGGTCCGCGACAATCTTGCCGTCGTCGCTTCGCATGCGCACGCCTTCGTACTGGCGTAACCATTGATCGGTCGCGGGATGTCCTGATAATTCGTGAACTGATACTGCGCCTACTGTGACGCGCTTCTTCGTCGTGAGTTCGCGAAATTGTTGGCGAACGTCGGGGGATACAGCTAATAATTCCCTTACGGGAATGCTGAGGTTAGAATCTAGAAGGCGCTCGACAACGCGCTTGTCAGCCTCCTTGTCCTCAAGCGGGAATGCATAACGATACGATGATGATTGAATTGGTGCTGGTGCTGAAGTTGGTGTTGATGATGATGCTAACGATTGTGAAGGGGATGGTGGTGGTGCTGATGATGATGGTGGTGCGGTTGATGATGACGAGGCGCCCTTGGGAGGCGCCTTAGCGCTAGTTGGTGCGCTTGTCGGCGCTACTTTTGCTAATTCTTTTCCTTTACCTTTGTCAGACGAAGCTTGTATTTCGGGAGAGATTATCTCTTCCTCCACTGTAGCTTGTCTTGACGCGGGTCTTGGACGCGCGCGCGTTTCACTGGGTACTTCCACGCCATCAAAGCGGACAGTTTTTACCTTTAGCGTTGCGCTTCTGGTCTCGCTTCGCTGCTACATAGGCTAGCGCCTCTGCCATTAGATCATCTGTCTGATCATCCTCCTCTGACTCGATTTGCGCGACTGTGTGCACAAATGCGGACGATCCTACTTCGATTACTGCGTCGACTTCTTGGGCGCGATAGAAGAGCCCGGCCGTCACACTTGCGCTAGCGGTTGTGTCCTGCGTTGTCCGGCTCGTGTGGTATCGATCTAACCGTTCTTTGAGGAGTCCTCGTCCAGGAATCCACTCGCCATCTGGCAAGACGAGTTTGCGCGTCTCCTCGCTAACCTTGCATTTACCTGCGTCAATGTACCTTTGCCTTTCCATGCACCGAGGATAGAAATGTTCGAGACTGCCACAGAAGGCGCAGTCGTTGAACACGGGTGCTTCGCGCTTATACTCGCGCTTAGTTACTGTACCTTGCGCGGGCGGTTTTGCTGGCGCGGTAGCGGCAATTAGGTTAGCGAGTGGCGTAACCTTGGGAGCGCTAGCCGTTGCGCTTAGCGCGGGTGCGTTCGCTGGTAGTACAAACTGTCCAGCTGCGAAAACATTCATGAACGGATATGGGTCCTGCGGGTAATGGTCCGGGAACTTGATCATGAGGCGCGTGCAGACTAGCGCCTGGGTGTCTTTAGGAATGCCTTCCATGAATAGTCGGTCGCGCTTCGGCTTTCCCAATACGGTCTTCTGCCAAGAGCGGTTGCATGACCTTCTTGAATGCGCGCAGATAGCTACTTAATTCCTGGTAAGAAGGCATTGGTTTGTTAGCGTACTCGCGCGCAATGGCTTGTAAGTCCGTGAGCGCGTAGCGCCTCTTGCCATCCCATCCTGGATACATTACCTTCACCTCGTCTAAGAAGGCGTCGTAATCGCTTACTTGCGCTTCGGGCATTCCGCCCCATAATTCGCGATCATCGCGCTCGAGGTAGCGGATAATGCCTTTGATTCGGTCAAGTCCTAATAGACCTACTTCATCAGCGAGCTGCTCATATGCGTCGATAAAGTCAGCGAGGTTATCCGTGGTGCCGTCGAATTTAGGCGCGTCCGTTGTCCCACGGATAGGCATTCTGGTTCTTACTGTGGACATGATAGGCGATTGGGATGTTGCGGGTGCGGGAGTCTTCTGTCTTGTTAGCGCTTGGTGTGCGTATACGAAGGGGAGATTTGCTACGATAGTTCCGCCTGGAATCGAGTTCGGTGCGCGTGGTGTTTCGGATGCTTCTTGCTTGATCTTCGGTAATCCCACCGTAGAAAGCGCGTTCTCGCGCGCAGTGGATGCTGGCGTGTTAAGCGGGGTGTCGGTTAGCGCGCTTAGCGCTGACAGGTTGGAGATAAAAGGAGGTTGATTGGGCGTGTGGAGGAACGCTCCGGGAAGTTGACTTCTTGGGTTATCTATTGCTTCAAAGTCGTCGGACGACTCCTCTTTGACAGATTCTTCGGGCGAGGGCGTTACTGGTGATATCGGTTGCCTATGCGCGCGTGCTAGGAACGCGAGATCTGGTCGTGCGGGTTCTGATACGTTGCGCGAACGACCGCGCGGGGGTTGAAGGAATAAGGGACCTGGTACAATGGATTCAATAGCTTTGTCGAATGCGGCGATGGCTTCTTCTCTAGCTCTGCGACGACTGTTGGGTCTGAGTACCCGACCGGTTGTCTCAGAAGTGTCCCTCGCGGTGGGCTCCAGTTGAAGGTGAGGAATCTTGACTATAGGTGAAACGCTAAAGCTAACGGGGGTTCTACAGTAAGACCAGGATACGAGAATACGACTCGACCCAAAGGACAGCTACTGAGAGAAGTTCCTCTTTAATGTAATGGAGGGAGTCTTCGCCAACTAGACGGGTGGTAACAGGCGCGCGAAGGCGCGAGAAGATAACGCGCGCGTAGGCGCGAGTAAGCAATGCGAAGGCGCGCGAAGGGCGCGCGCGAGCGAAAGATGCGAGGGGCGCGCGCGTATACGGAAGCGTGCTTTTGAGCGATGGGGGAGAGTGTTCAAGTATAGCAGATGCGCGAGCGATGGTAGAATAGTGAAGTATAATCGGATTTCAAGTACTAAGGTGCACTTATACAATTTGCAGTATACTCAGATAAGGGAGAAGGGAAGGAAGTCAGTTAAAAGGAACTTTCCCTCTATTTAAGAAGGGAGATTACGCTATGCGGCGCGCTTCGAGCGTGGTACCGAACCGAGTAACCATATCAACTCTAAATATATTCTAAAGCCTATGATAGACTTTCTAGTATGTAAGCGCGGAGATCGGACCGAAGGTACGTCAATTCAGTGAAAGGGATAAGAATAACGCACCAGTAAATCAGCGAGGACATAGGACGGACGGACGGACAAGGGTACGAAGGCCTAAGGGGAGGCGCACGAGCGCGCGCGAAAGGCGCGAGTGCGTGTAAGGCGCGCGAACGAGGCGCGTACGTAGGGCGCACGCGTGAGAGCGCGTATGACTGATCCTTCGGATAAGAGCTGGAACGTGTAGGGAATTATGTGGGTAATAGGGCTGTATATTCCGCATTGAGAGGCGCGAGTCTCTACAGCGCAATGGCGCTTCACCTCCTACCACTCGACTTCCCCGACCTTGTAAACCTCACGGTTAGGATGGCTATGTCAAAGCCACATGCCGAAGAAATTAGACCCGTGCGCGCGCTACCAAAGAAAAGAGCGGCCACAATGGATAGAACCCGCACGCTTTGCCGACGCTGCGGAGGATATGGGCACACTTTTAGACAGTGTCCTGATTACGTCTGCTGCATTTGCAGCAAGATTGGACCGGATCATTTATCGATCCATTGCCCTGGACTCAAGGGACACTTAGTGCTCCAAGAGTTTTCAGATGAGGAGAAGTTCTTCGAAGCTCTCCTAGACTGGGAGCAGAACCATAAAGCACTCGCTGACCTCGCGCTCGCCTTCCCCATACCACCTTCACCTATGCCCACAACGCCGATACCCATGACACCAGTGCCAGCACCTCCCTCGACACCTGCACCGTCCTCCCAGACATTGGACGAAGTATTAATTGAAGCCGGTGACTTCAACCTTAGTAACGGGGTAATGTTACAGGCATCCGTAACACTTACAGGAGCCCCAGCTCTGCCTACACCTGCCCCCGCTCTGCTAGACTCCCTGCGCGGCGGTGCGCCGTCCGCACCTAGAAAGATAGCGGTCTGGACCGCTGTGACCCCGCCCCTGGCGCTATGACCCGCCCCTGGCCTAGATGGCCTTGTACCTGATCCATGGAGGCTGTACGCCTCATGGTCACCCTAGATCAGCGCATGCATACCGCATGTCGCTTCATGAAGATCCGGAGCGCTCTCGGCGCTTCCTGTACCTATGCGCAGCTGCCCTTGGCGCAGCATACTTGATCAGAGGTTAAGCCTCATGTACTTATCTGAACCTCATGTCTTGTTATCATAGATCATAGATATACTATTGATTACAGACTGAGCTAGAATACTTGTAGTACTTCCCTATAAGTAGACAGGATTATTGTACTTAGACTTTACTTTAATCTACTAGGTTCATCCCCAGAACTTGCTCATCTAAGCCTTACCAGCTTCCTTGTGTGAGACCGCACTTCTAAGTCGCCCCCATACGACTTAGCACGTATCCGCTAGCCCTGCATCTCGACGAGCGCCGTCTTACCGAGATCGCCAGAGGAACCCTTGACGTTCCGTCAAGACGAGAACCACCCTCAGCTTCAGTAGACTCACTCGAGTCGTCGCTGAGAAGACCTATCCTAGTTCGCACATGCCGACCGACGGTCAGCGTAACACACAGCCTGCAAGGGTCAACAATGGGATCATTGTTTTCTTTCACTTCATAGCCATAAGAGATGCGCAGAATGATAGCGCCAGCAGTGCCGGCAATGTACAGGACCTTTATACCTGTACCCCGTACTGTCAACTCAAGGTCGAAACAGCCAACGGTACGGGTACGATGAACAGCCCTAGGAAGCATAAATAAATGATCAGCTATAGTTATAAATGTGAAAAATCATACCTATTGTGCAAGACACCGGACACAGACAGTGTTACGCTGACCGTCGGTCGGCGTGTGCAAACTTGGATAGGTCTTCTTAGCGATGGCTCGAGTGAGCCCTCCGAAGCTAAGGGTGGTTCTCAGCTTGATGGAACGTCAAGGGTTCCTCCGGTTATCTTGGTAAGACAGCGCTCATCGAGATGCAGGGCTAGCGGATACGGCTAAGGTGCGGGGAGCGACTTAGAAGTGCAGTCTAGACAACTAAGTTGGAGGACTTAGTTGAACAGGTTTCTGGGTGAGACCAAGTAGATTAAAGTAAAGATCTCAGTACAATAATCTATCTACTTATATGTGCTACATGTAAGTGTTCAAGCTCAGTCTGTATCTATAGTATATCTGCGGATCTATGTCTATCAAAGATAAGAGTACATGTGGACAGTCATGAGTGCAGATAAGATACATGAGGCTTAACCTCTGATCAAGCATGCAGCGCCAAGTGCGACTGCGCATAAGTACATGAGGCGCCAAGGGCGCTCCGAATCTTCATGAGGCTTCATGAGGCGGCAACAATCAACATGTGCTGATCTAGGGTGACCATGAGGCGTACAGCCTCCATGGATCAGGTACAAGGCCGACTAGGCCAGGGGTGGTGTCACAGCGGTCCAGACCGCTGTCTTTCTAAGTGCAGGCAGCGTGCCGCCGCATCGGGAGTCTAGCAGAGCGGGGGCTGGTGTAGGTGTTACAGATGACTGTAACAGACAGTGCACAACACACAGAAATGAGCGAAGATGCTTGTCAGTGATGTACTACATACATAGATAAATGAAAAAGATGCACCTAGATTGCAGACGAGCAGGGACAGTTACTGACGAACTGGGACATATGTCAACCTCCTGGTCTGGTGATTGGAATCCTCCTGTAGCATTAGCCTGCCAGCATGCAGACTAGGTACATACTGTCGAAAATATCAGGGGTTCAGGACGGTTCGGGATGCGTCTGAAGCAAAGTCGAACTGTTCGCCCAATGCCAGAGCCGAGAACCGTATTATGGTCCCTCTTCTTGATATCTGAGTCGTTTAAATACAGTATTTTGTTAGTTGAGTGAAGTCCAATGATGTCAGTTGACGGGGCGCACCTGTATATTGTATGCTCGAGGGGTTGATAAGTTCAGTTTTAAGTTGTTGAGGGAGGTGTGTATATGTAGTAGAGCCCTATGTCGGAGAGGGAGAGTTGAAGGTTGAGCTGGGTATTGATATGATGTAGCGGTTGTTGAAGGAGGAAGACATCAGCTGGCAACCGATAAACAAGATCATGTGAAGCGACGCAACACAGTGAATGTGATGCGCGAATCATATGTAGAAGTAAGTATGCAGATCAACTTGAGAAGGCAGGCACTTGTGCCTACCTAAGCTGTGGCTCCATGAGCATCTCACAAGGCTCCTGAGATGCTCTTGAGAGGCTTAAGCAGCCAATCAAATGACGAATTAAAAGTTCGATTAAAACATAAAACATTGATTGTTGACCCAGCACTCACCATAAAAACATCTTTTGATGGTCTGAAATAGTAGTATAGCAGTCCCTACATGTCACAGAAAACCTTTAGGTACTGTTGTAAGGTAAATGACCCGCTGACACTGCAAAATGCAGTGTTATGGACATTTACCTTTCAACAGTTTGAAGCTGGCTAGTAGGACCGAAACTTGTCTCAGTGCGTCGACAAGTTTGCCCTCCCGCATTGCTTGAAGCCACTGCTTTCCACTGTCTCATACTCAATATCACCTTACTGCAGTACTACCTGTGGCATCAGCAGCGATGCAGCAGGATTTACACGCGGGTACTAACATATAAATCATATAGAAGTAGCTGTTACAAAGACATGTATTCTAGTACTACGGATAATAACACCCTACTCATCCTTCACAACGAGAACAAGAGAAACTCGTTTTGGAGCAGAAGGTGCTGGAGTTGGAGTTGGTTCAGCCAGGAGCTGGCGTTGATTCGCGGGGAGGCACAGGTGCTGGTGCAGATGGAACAGGAACTGGCTTGCAAGCAGGAACTGGCCTAGGAGTAGGAACCGGCCGGGGAGTAGGATGCACAAGCTGAGAGCGGGATGCAGCCAGGGCACCATCAGCGTGGAAAGTGGTAAGCATGTCAAAAAGCGAGAAGACCCACATACTGAGAGCGGAACGCAGCCAGAGCACCATCAGTGTCAGGTAAGCAAGTCAAAGATGAGAACATGCACAAGCTGAGAGCGGGATGCAGCCAGAGTACCATCAGCATCGGGTAAGCAGGTCAAAGGACGAGAGCACGCACTTTCTGAGAGCGGGACGTGGGCAGAGCACCATCAGTGTAAGGTAAGTAGGTCAATGGACGAGAACCCACACAAACTGCGAGCAGGACACGGGCAGAGCACCATCAGCATAAGGTAAGTAGGTCAATGGACGATAACGCACACAAACTGTGAGCAGGACATGGGCAGAGCACCATCAGCAGTCGAGTACACAACAGTAAAAGACAAGATCACGCACTTGACACGGGATGCACTTGTTTGAAGTATGCCCATGACAGATGCATTAGTGACGAATACATGAGACTGAGTCATGTGCTTGAGGCTACAAAAAGAGCTGGTCAGTTTTGTATGTGGGGAGAAGTTTAACTTACAAACTGAGCATATGTAACATCTACACAGCACAAAGTAGAGATGACACACGTCAAGGTGTCATGTTGAAGAACTCAGTGTCGGTGATAGAGCCTTTGGGCAAGGGGAGTGGCATCGAGTCGGGTGGGACACCAGGCACTGATCAATGGTCGATGACTACACACAAGTGGCATGCACAGTGCTGCGCGGGATGATGGGTGACGAGAGGGTGGGCATGATGATAGCGGGTGTCCAAGCGTTGACGAGGCAGTGCTGAGGATACACTTGTGCCCTCTTGCCCTCAATCAGCCATATCGCAGGTGGATAGCATTGGAAGGTGGAAGCTAACCTCATGAGCAGGACAGTGGATGAGTGATGGATGTTCAAGCACAAGGACTTGCGACTCGAAATGGTGTGAGACTGAAGTGACTGGAGCATCAGTTAGTAGAGAAATAAAACTAGATAGATGCACCCAAACCAACTATACCAATCCTACTAGGTAAAGACAATTGAAGATACGAGCAACATGAGGCAGAACGAAGGCGAGGATAACAAAGCGAACAACAGTACAAATCGTCGCAGTGCGAGCGTGTTGAGTATAAGCTGGGAGCTGTCATGGTGGAGAGACAGGACTCAGTCAAGACAAGGACAGAATGAGCACTAAGTACCATTAAGTAGTCCTGGGACGGGGATGCTGACGATGTCGGCGAGGAATCGCAGAGCATTGCAGATGATGTACAGAATATCCAGAGGGTCAGGAGAGGGCTACGAGGCTCAAGGGAGGCGCTGCAGGAGAATTCTGGAGGAAGGAAGGTGTGCTATAAATAGAACATCAGCGAGGCCGGGTCTCTTAGACCATATAATCCTAACATAAAAATAGGGTCTGACAGACCTTTAATAGTACCGAGAACTGCTGCCTGAGGTGTGTGTTGCTGTCCTCAAGCGATGTGAAGGACGACACAGCGGGTGCGAGACACTTGGCGACAATTGCTATCTCGGGAGCTACACATTCAAGTGGCTTCCCTCCATCGGGGTTTCCTTGACCAATGGCAACAAAATGTTGCGGGGACCCATCTCGTGAAACCTGCTTTCTCGCACGAACAAGAGTTGCCAAAGTGGGGGTATACGAGGAGATATAGATGTGAGACAAACAATCTCTCTTCTTCTCATAAGCTCCTGCTGCATGTAGAGGAAGCAGCGCAAACTCAGCAGTGGGACACCACCAAATACGCGAACCAGGGCAAATATTTGATACCTTAAGGGCTTGTACTACGGGGCCAACAACACCATGCCAAAGTTTACGAAGGATGCTGACAAGCTTGAGTTGAGCATCAAGAGAACCAAATTGTTTTGAAAGGGACTGAAACTTGGAGGATAAATCAGAAACTTCAGTGTGCGTGATACCGATTGGCACATGGACAGGATTTTGGTTGCTCAGGACAATCAAGGTGTCGCAGCGATACTGACTAGTATTAACAATGATGACAGGACCGTCTTCAGCTGCCTTCTGTAGGTCGGAGAAAAGGGGAGGGAGGAGAAACCGAGAAAAGTCAGGTAGCTTGCGGATGCGTGAAACTACGTCATCCTATTGCATGGCAAGTTGCCGAATTTGCAGACACTGGTCTTCAGTAGACTGATCGAATGCATTACGAAGGCAAAAACTCAACAATCTGAACTCTTCTGCCAAGGCCACACCGGTATCACCTGAAACAGAAAGTTCATCCAGCGGCATGCTGAAGCGTGCCAACTGGGTCCAGAACACTGCACGACCTTGCTCCACCAGCTCCACTGCAGTTGTCAGCGCATGATGACGAACACTGCATGAAAAAGCATCTGTGGCGAGGGAAGAAACAGCCTCCCTGAAGAGTGAAGACGTCGAAATGATGGAAAGAAGGCGACAAGAGAGCAACCTGCTGATCTAGGAATTTCAGTGCAGTCTTATAGGCAAGCAATGCAGATGCGTGATTGAGGGTGTCAGCGAAGGCCACCCATGATTTAGCAACACGAAGATCTGAGCGAGATGCTGCATGTGATAGGTGGGAGAGTTGAGAATATAAGCTAAATGCTTCATGAATGTCAGACTGGACGCCGCGCTGGTGGAATCTGTCTTGAAGGCTAAGTGCAAGATCATTCAGAGATGAGGATCGCTCTGGATGACTGCAAGGACGGAGGAGTAATGCCTCCCGATGCAGCTCGATGGCCTCATCAAGGTCAGATGTGATCCCACACTGTTCGAATCTGTCTCGGAGGCTGATAGCAAGATTGTTGAGAGATGATGATCGATCTGAATGACCGCGGGGACGGAGGAGTAATGCATATTGATGCAGCTCGATAGCCTCATCAAGGTCAGACATGATCCCACGCTGCAGGAATCTGTCTCCAAGGCTGTTTGCGAGATTGTTCAGAGATGAGAATCGATCTGAATGACTGCGGGGACGGAGGAGTAATGCAGCCTGATCCAGCTCGATGGCCTCATCAAGGTCAGACATGATCCCATGCTGCAGGAATCTGTCTCGAAGGCTGTTTGCAAGATTGTTGAGAGACATGGATCGATCTGGATGACCGCGGGGACGGAGGAGTAATGCATCCCGATGCAGCTCGATGGACTCATCAAGATCAGACATTACCCCACGCTGCTCGAATCTATCTCCAAGGGTGTTTGCAAGATTGTTCAGGGACGAGGATCAATCTGAATGACCAGGGGGACAGAGGAGTAATGCATCCCGATGCAGTTCAATGGACTCATCAAGGTCAGACATGATCCCACACTGCTGAAATCTGTTTCGAAGACTGGCACCAAGATTGCTCAGAGACATGGATCGATCTGGATGATCGGGGGGACGGAGGAGTAATGCATCCAGATGCAGCTCAATGGCCTCGTCAAGGTCAGACATGATGCCACACTGCTGGAATTATCCCCAAGGCTGAGTGCAAAGTTGTTGAGAAGTAAGAACGGAAGTGAATGGCCTGGAGGACAAACCTGCAACCCAGCTCGATACACTAGGCTAGTAGTGACGCTATAAAAGGTCTCGCAATGAGCGCAAGATGGAGTGAGATCAGAGTCAATACACACTTGGCGAGTTGAAACTGCAGTACTGGTACACCGAAGACCCACTACTCGAGAGAAATGATATGGTGAGTGGTCAGCGATCCCAGGAATCCAACGGCGAACTGGAAGGCCACGGTGAGGTCGAGGCTCTGTTGGAAAACTACTATGAGGCCGCCAGGTGCAACTTGTAAAGTACCTGTGCATGTCGCAAGGTGAATACATAAAATCGCACAAATATTGCAGGCTTTTTTTACTGTCAGTCTGCTGCAAGTCCCTGCCAGCGAGCTCAGGATTCAGGAAAACGCATGCATTGAAGATATGGGGGACATCACTGAACCGAACTGAGTCGCTACGACCTGATGTCGGTGATTACATAACGTCCTCTATTATCAAGGCACACCACCTTAGCGCTTAGTAAGACGTACCATCAGCTGTCATGCTCACCGGATGTCTACTAGTACTTCCAACAGAGTGCTTGATCACAGGCTGGAGTGCCACAAAGCTCATAATTTCGGATATCGTTAGTCTCATTCTGGCGGTGCTGCCAGTGTTCCTCTAATGACGCTTCAACCGTTTCAACCTAAGGGCATCGCCCTCGTGGGAGCAGGTATTATCTTATCACTGCATACAGCTTGACGTCGTCAATTGCTTTACGCCTCATACTACTTATGATGCCTTTTCCATGCGTTCGATCACACCTATCTAACACCTTTTGTAGTCAGCGCTGGCCGCCATCTGTTTTCTGCGGTCATTAGCTGGCTTCGGCTTTCTGTTATCTGCTCCAACGATATACAGCGCACTGGGATTCAAAATCGCGATCGATATGCGCAGCGAACCTAGCCGTGTGCGGCTTTATGATAATCAAATAAACGTTCCATATGCTTATCGTGTGTATCATATTTCTTCCATTCCAGAACCATACCCTACTGTAGAACTACAGTGTCTTGAATGCTGTATATGCTAAACCAATGTCCAGATTGCGATGTAAGCCAAAGTAGTTCGCAATAGTGCATGGACCACCCTAGTACAAAATGAGGCAAAATGTGAGTAATTAATGATTAAGGTTGAATTATAGATATCATAGAATAAATGATAGCATGTGTGGTGCTCAAACATCGGTGCGCTTTTCTGCGGAATTCACTTCCTAGGCTATCGTGGTACTCCGGTGCTCTTCCCCTCGCCCTGGACTGGGCTGCCTACGGCCGCTTGCTTGCCCGCTTATTCATGGCATCCGTCAACGATGAAAAGACAGGGACCGAGAAACGGCGCGTCTTCGTGCCGGGTGCACGAGGGGCAAGCAGGGACATACTCCGCATGATGCTCTTCCTCTTTAATTTCTTTTCCGTATCGGGGACGTCCTCTCTGAGAGGTTTTGCTTGCTCAGGCGTTTCCACTGCGGCCGCGGGGGGCTTGGACGAGACCTGGTCCATGTCAATGACGTTGACAGGCTTCACAGGACGCGAGGGCGTGGCACATTCTGCGAACGATATGCGTCGTGTGTGCGCAGCCTCATTGACAGATGGGTAGAGCTGCAGAATTGAAGTTGGAAACCCGGGCTTTGAAACAACGTTGACAAGGGTTTCAGTGCTGTTGTTTCCTATGAAAATGACTGGCTCCGGGGGTGTCTGTGGGTTGGAAGACGCGGGCAAAGGTATCGTTGATTTGGAAATGGTGGGAAGTGTTGAGCGGGATGTTGGAGACTCTGGCTTGAGCTGGATTGCCGTAGTAGGTTTGCGCTCCAAAGGTGTTTCAAGGACGAAACCCTCTGGAATGAGAGGCGCTTTTCTCGCATTGCGAGTAAAATAGAAGATGTCGGAGAACGAGATCCAGGAAGACATGGTAGTGGCTGGCATGGAGGTCTCTTAGTATGGATGATGACCTCGAGAAAGATGGCCTGCACCCTAGAGATATATACAAGTAATGATCCAAGACAAAAGAAACGAAAGGCGTCTTTGAATGAAGAAACGAGAGAAGCGCGACGGCGCAGAAAACGAAACTTAAATAGTCTCTCCTTTCAGCTAACGCTGTGCTATCCGTTCCTATTGTTGACATGCATAGGAAACACGATGGTCTGGGCTGTGAAAGTCACTGTTGTGAACGTTACGAATCGCTATCATGACTGATAGCCTTTCAGTGATTGGTAACTGATTGAACTGCTGCTAACTTGTTTAGAGATATAGACTTGAACAGGACCATAGAAGGAAATTCGAGTTGACGGGGTTTGGGTTACTAGGCTGTGTCGCGGACTCGCGGTACCAGGTAACCGATGTTGGATACATGAGCGCTCCATGCCGCACGGGAGGTTTCACGAACGGCGTAAGATAGCCATTGCAATTGAACCGTTATGGTACTAGCAGTTAACGTTGATCACGAGAGGGAGCAGTGGGCGCTTAGTAATTGCTACAACCTGAATTATGTAATGGCCAATCGCGTAACTGTATTCAGCCCTGGACTGCGTCTCGTTTTTGGCTCTCCCTTCGAATGATACTCCTAGGGATATGGCATAGAAGCGCGGGGTTCCAGACTCGCCGCTTGAATCATGAATATCCTAATCCCTTCGCTTCAGAATTTCAATCAATTATAGTATCAACGCCCTCGGTGCCGAGTCAGGTTCATCAACTTCCTATGATACTCCTGCCACACAACGTGATGAGATCGATCGAACCGTACATGAAATATCTGGCCCCTGCGTGAAGATTAGATTCCTCGGACTGGCTGCTTAGCCCGACCTTGCTACAAACTGTCTCCGCGGCCAGTATATTGCTCAAAGGCAAATACCTGAAAGATAGGCTTGATATGCGCATGGCGCAGGAAATACTCCAGCAATACCCTGGACTACAAAAGATAATTTGCCACGCCTGTCACACGCGCGTTGGGAAGGCTGCGGACGGTTTCTACGAGTACCTGAAAATAACAACATGAAGTTCAGGGGTGGCGACATGCACAGGCCATACTATGCTAAGTTCTGTTCGATCGTCCAAAGTTCTGGTACAGGAAAATCAAGACTAATGTCCGAGGTCAGTGTTTCATAGCTCATGTTCATATCAGGTCGCTAAAATACCGAATTAGCTCCGGAACAAAGGTGTTATTGTTTTGTACATGACCCTCCGTGATCCAAGTGATCTAGGCTACCCTATGCGAGACCCAGTGCCCGCGCGTATATATGGATGGAAAATACAGGTTGTGCGAATTGAAACCACCTTTGAAGTGCCGAGTGAGAATTAAGCGAGAGATGTCACATAGCTTAAGGTGCTTCAGAGGTGCCTCGAAGTGAAGGTAAAAAAATATAGCTGATGGGGCTGTCAGCCACGTTAAAGACCATCGTGACCGGAATCAGAAAACTGGGAAGGACACAATGAAACACGTGTCAAATTTGAGAGCAAAGTCAAGCTGTCTGCTCTTCGTTTTGGCCAGCTAGAAAAAAAAAGCGCATGGGTGGTGGCGGAATAATTGAATAGTAAAAGGATAGGACTTCAGCACCATACTTCATTTTGTTCGGGGGCTGTCTGTAAACGGTTCACGATCGGCCATATGATTTGGAGTGTATCGAGAGATACTCGATGCGTGGTAACACCAAGGGCTACAAGTTCATTATTATAATCGTGCCTGTTTGAAGATATACAAAGTTAGGTGTAACGGGAAATTTAAGTCGGATAGAGAACGAAAAGACTCCAGAATGCAAGTCAGACTCCTTTGCACGAAGATTCAAGTTTCTAGAATAAATGCCTCTTATTTGCCCGGTGCGCATAGTTCCCTGATCACGTTCTCATCGATCCTCTTCGCAAAGCATATCTCAAATGGAGCAGCATGTATGTTTGCAGTGTCAGAGAATGCAAGCGTGTCAATCTTCGCTCCAGGATTCTCAGAAAGGTGGAAAGCCCACAGAATGAGAGCCGTGGTGATGAAGACCGACCGGTTCGCGACATGTTGACCAGGACACACTCTGATATTTTTAAGTAAGGCATACGAAATGGTCGAGAGTCAAATAATACCACTCACCGGCGGCCAAAGCCAAAAGTAAAGAATCGGAGATCACTGCGCACACGACCTGCATCGTCGATCCAACGCTGGGGATTAAACCTGTGTGGTTCCGGGAAGATTTCAGGGTCATTTGCGATAGCCCTGAAGCACGAGCATCAGACCCAAAGGTGAGGACGAAAATGATTGCCTACTGACCAATGGTTCCCAATCACAGTCGCACCTGCCGGAATGAGGTAGTTCTTCCAAACGATGTCCTTAATCGCGCGATGCGGAAAGCCTGTAGTGCAAGGTGGTCGATCATTATCACGTCATCATAGCTCAAATAAGACGTACCTCCAAGACTGACAGGTCTCCACCTGAGACTCTCGAGCATGAACGCGGTAACCTGCGGCAGCATTTCCTGATCATCAAAAGTCGGCACTAATCAGGTGCTATGTGAGTCAGTAGATGGACAAAGAAAAGGGATAACTTACGCCGCGTACGCCCCACGACGTTATCGAGTTCCTCTTGTACGCGAGCCTGCGCATCTGCATGAGTGGCAGCAGCCATCATCATAATTGTGATTGCAGACGCAGTCTACAACAGTTGTCGAGTGAATACGAGATGCAATGTAAGAGCTCACCGTATCAGAACCGGCCCCAAACATCGCTCCTGCAATGTATGTCAGGTCGTTGTCTTCGAGCTGGTACTGTTTCTGGTGCTCTAACATGAACCTCGCAAATGATGGCCTTGCAGTCCCCTCACGCTTCACAGTGGTGAGCGAGGACGTATATCGTCACAAGAAAACCACGGACCATTTGTCTTCGCACCGCGTCCAACTGCCCATTATAGAGAGCAAGTTCTTCTTTGTGCCATGACTTCAGCTGACTCAGGTAGCCTGGGACGAAACGCAGGATTGGATACGCATCCACAAGATATGCTCCCGGCTTCATAGCTTCACCAAAACGCGCAAGAGCCTTGTTGACGGCAACAACTTCAGGATCTGTATATGAGGTCGGAGTAATTTTTCCATAGGTGAAGGACATGACCACAGAAGCTGAATAACTTAAATGCTCGGATTACCACCTGTACCACGCAAGAAAGAGCTAGTGTTCGCACCGCATGGCATGACCTTGGTGGTTCTTCGAATCATTCAAGACATCTAGAACCAGATTCTTCGCATGTCTCGTCTGGATGGGCTCATATGTCTCCGCAACCTTGGGTTGCAAGCCTGCATGCAAGACCCTGCATTACATTCAGTCTCGCTGATCCCACCTGCTAGAGGCAAGATGTGTACCTGCGCAGCCGGCGGAATCTTTCAGTAGAGCCCTCAAGGAGCGGTCCCAACCCGCCACCCAATGTCTCATGCACTGCAATAGAACGCGGACGGTCGGCAAGAGTTGCTCCCTCTTTTTCCATGATATCCACTGCAGCCTATGATGTGATCTACTTCATGTCTGGCCAGACAATGTGTTGTTTTATACTGACCTGATGACGTCCTATAACTACGAAAATCCGATGGCCTTGTTTGAGCGAGAACACAGGTCCGTATTGTTCTGTCCATCTCGCGAATTGAAACGGCGCACTACGTGAGGGGTCAGATAAGGATCATGTTGGTATCCCTTGGCAATGACTTACTATGACTCTGGCATCGTATTTCCTAACAGCCAACGTCCAGGCGGTCCAGGCGGTAATGGCAACCGTCTTGCGATCTGGTATCGTTGTTTCACTATCCAGACGCTGGCTAAGATAATGATAAGGGTGCATGCGGCAATGATAATCGCCATTGAAATGGTCCGGCTTGCTGATGGTCACGACTCAAATTTCAAACACCCCGCTACTTTGCAACACGTTCAGTACTCAAGAACAAACAGGTGGTGACTTACTGTGATGAGCGACGAGTACGGTGAGATTAGAGTGCATGATTACGCTGACTTATACTTATACAAACACGGATTGAACACCTGCGGCGTGCGCGGATTAATCAAACCTGTGCGAATCATGTGTTGCAGTCTTCCTATAGTATAGGCTAATAACTTGATGACCACCCTGGCGATAAGTTAGTAGTCCTTGGACGTGTGAGTGCGAAGACATTTCGACACCTGAAGATCAAGGTAAATTTCATGTCTTTCTCGATGACCCGTTGCCAGTTGGATTGGAGGACAGTCACCATTACATAATTGGTTGTCGAAGTAAAGTGGGTTACCATTCTAAAAATAGACATTTGTACTCCGAATCTATAATAACCTAATAAATTAATAATTACTAGCCTAATAAAACCGCTGAAACCGGAATGCTGAGCTTAAGCGTGTTATGGACATTCAACAAGGCTCACAATGAACTAGGTCGAGGGGCGTGCAGCCCAGAGACTGAGAAAGCAAGCTGGAATGAGGTGAACGTAACAACAGGCTAGAAACCGAATCTACGTGTTGACCAAGCTATGGAGAGTGTATAGGCGCTGGGTGTGTAGCTCCTGCCCTAGAACCCCCTACTCCATGCACCTTCGCGGAGGATCTTAGAAGAAATGTTGTTGAAGGGGTGAAGGACATGCGTATTTTGGAAGATCAGGTTGTCCGAATCGAATTCACCTATGAAGTGCCGAGTAACAATTGAGCGAGATATGTCACATAGCTTAAGGGGCTTCAGCGTAGGTGCCTCAAAGTGAAAGGAAAAAATTATAGCTGACGGGATTGTCAGCCGCAATAAAGACTCACGTGACCGGAACCATGAGACTGGGAAGCACACAATGAAACCCGTGTCAACTTTGAGAGCAAAGTCAAGTTGTCTGCTCTTCGTTTTGGCCAGCTAGAAAAAGAATGCGCATGGGTGGTGGCCGAATAATTGAATGGTAAAAGGATACCACTTCAGTACCATACTTCATTTTGTCCAGGGGCTGTCTGTAAACGGCTCATGATCAGCCACGCAACTTGGAGTGTATCGAGATATACTTGATGCGTGGTAACACAAAGGGGTGCAAGTTCATTATTATAATCGTGCCTATTTGAAGATATACAAAGTTAGGTGTAACGATGAGCTTGAGTCGGATAGACAACGAAAAAAAACACCAAAACGCAAGACGAACTCCTTTGCACAATGATCCAAGTTTCTAAATAAACGCTTCTTATTTGCCCGGCGCACATAGTTCCCTGATCACGTTCTCATCGATCCTCTTCGCAAAACATATCTCAAACGGAGCAGCATGTACGGTGAAAATGTCCGAAAATGCAAGTGTGTCAATTTTCGCGGCAGGATTCTCAGAAAGGCGAAAAGCCCACAGAAGAAGAGCCGTGTTGACGAAGACCGACCGATTCGCGAGATGTTGACCGGGACACACTCTGACATTTTCAAGTGAGGCATGAGAAATGGTCGAGAGATGAACGATGCCACTCACCGACGGCCAAAGCCATAAGTGAAAAACCGGAGATCACCGCGCACACGACCTGCATCGTCGATCCAACGCTGAGGATTAAACGTCTGAGGTTCTGGAAACACTTCAGGATCGTTTGCGATAGCCCTGAAGCACGAGCGTCAGATCCAAAGGTGAGAAGACGAAAATGATTGCCTACTGACCAATGGTTCCCAATCACAGTCGCACCTGCCGGAATGAGGTAGTTGTTCCAAACGATGTCCTTAATCGCGCGATGCGGAAAGCCTGCAGTGCAAGGTGGTCGATCATTATCAAGTCATTATAGCTCAACTAAGACGTACCTCCAAGAGTGACAGGTCTCCACCTGAGACTCTCGAGTATGAACGCGGTGACCTGCGGCAGCATTTCCTGGTCATCAAAAGTCGGCACTAATCAAGAGCTATGTGAGTCAGTAGATGAACAAAGAAAAGACATAACCTACGCCGCGTACGCCCCACGACGTTATCGAGTTCCTCTTGTACGCGAGCCTGCGCATCTGTATGGGTGGCAGCAGCCATCATCATAATTGTGATTGCGGACGCAGTCTACAACAGTTATCGGTGAAGACGCGATGCAATGTAAGAACCTACCGTATCAGAACCGGCCGCAAATATCTCACCTGCAAGGTATCCCAGTCCCTTATCTTCGAGCTGATACTGTGTCTGGTGCTCTAATATGAACCTCGCAAAGGATGGACTTGCAGTTCCCTCACGCTTCACAGTGGTGAGCGAGCATATCTACCATCACAAGCAAATCAACACGAACCATCTTTCTTCGCACTGCGTCTAACTGCCCGTCATAGAAAGCAAGCTCTTCTTTGTGCCATGCCTTCAGCTCACTCAGGTAGCCTGGGACGAAACGCAGGATTGGATACGCATTCACAAGATATGCTCCCGGCTTGATAGTTTGACCAAAACGCGCAGAAAACCTGTTGATGGAAACGACCTCAGGATCTGTATATGAAGTCGGAGTAATCTTTCCGTAGGTGAAGGACATGATCACGGAAGCTGAATAACTAAAATCCTCGGATCAACACCTGTACCGCGAACATGAGCTGGTGTTCGTACCGCATGGCATGTCTCTGGTGGTTCTTCGGATCATTTAAGACATCTAGAACCAGATTCTTCGCATGCCTGGTCTGCATGGGCTCGTAGGTCTCCGCAACCTTAGGTTGCAAGTTTGCATGCAAGACCCTGCTTTACATTTAGCCTCGCTGATCGCACCTAGTAGAGACAGGATTTGTACCTGCGCATCCGGCGCAATCTCTCATTATTGTCCTTAAGGGACATCCTGAACCCGCCAGACAACGTTTCTTGCACCGCAATAGAACGTGGGCGGTCGGCAACGTTTGCTCCTTCTTTTTCCATGATATCCACTGCAGCCTGTGACGTGATCCATTTCATGCCTGGCTAGACAATAAGATGTTTTATGCTGACCTGATGACGTCCTATAACTACGAAAATCCGATGGCCTTGTTTGAGCGAGAACACAGGTCCGTATTGTTCTGTCCATCTCGCGAATTGAAACGGCGCGCTGCGTGAGTGGTTAGATAGAGATATGTTGGTGTTTCTTGACGATGACTTACTATGACTTTGGCATCGTATTTCCTAATAGCCAACGTACAGGCGGTCCAGGGGGTAATGGCAACCGTCTTGCGGCCTGGTATCGTTGTTTCGCTGTCCAGACGCTGGCTAAGATAATGATAAGGGTGCATGCGGCAATGATAATCGCCATTGAAACGGTCCGGCTTTCTGATAGTCACGATTCAGACACCCCGCTACTTTGCAACGCGTCAAGTACTCCAGAACACAAAGGTGGTGACTTGATGTGATGAGCGACGGGTACGGTGAGATCAGAGTGCGTGATTACGCTGACTTCTACATATTATAAGAACGGAGCGATTTCCAATATGGTGTCGACGCCATGTCCGCGCTCCACTCGAGCCCCTTTGAGGCTCCACTGTGACCACTGACCGTCATCATTCGAGTGCTCCGAGTCCTGCTCTCCAGCGTCATAGACCGTGCAAAGTTCTTGTGCAAATCACGTATTGCGGTCTTCCTATAATGTAGCAACCTGATGTGACCACCCTGGTGATAAGTTAGTGGACACGCGTGTTCCAAGACATTTTGAAGATTAAGGTAGATCTTCATGTCGTTCTTGATGACCCGTTGGATTGCTCGTGCGACAGGACCGTCGACTATTCCATAATTAGGTTTACAAAACATTCAGTATTAAGTAATGGAGCTCGTTAACTATTATTCCAAAAATAGAACTTCTGTCCGGCATCAGTGATATGGTTGAAAGCGCCCATGCGGCACATGCTCGTCATGACCACAACCTCCATATCTTACATCCTGCCCTACCAGAAAAACAATAGTCTGGGGACTGGAATGACCATCCTCATCCTAGCGAATTCGTTGGCTGTGCGTGACCCACTTCTGGTGCTGAAACGTTATGTTGCGTTCCATGATAGTGCCTTTCCATTTCGCCCTGCGCCGTGGTTGACAAGCGCGGGATCGGTGCCAACACGTGGTTGGTTCTTGCGACGGCTGAGGGAACACTGCGGGTCTCGTATGTCGGGTCACTCGATGAGGGCTGGTGGAGTGACTGCTCTAGCTATCGCAGGAATGACCCCAGACCTGATTCAAGCAGCAGGGTGTTGGTCTTCTGAAGAGTTCAGGAAATATGTGCATCAACACGCATTCTTGCTAAACGCTCTCCTCCGTGGCTCTGCTCGCGCGCCTATGCACCCGAGGACTTGACACTCGGGCATGTCACACTCAGCTGGCGCAGGTTCATCCTCAGACATGGCACGGACTTGACACGGCGCTCGCAAAAGCTCATGCAGCTTCAGACTCACTCTCTTTCGGCTTCTTTCGCTATCAATTTTGTACAGGTTGTAAAAGGCATCAAGACCACAAAAAAAAGAAAAACATTGTAATTTTTTTAGCCCTTTAGCGTGTTTCATCGTGCCTTCGTCACTTACATCCTTTTCCTTTCGTCTTAGAAATAGTCTCATTACTCATTCGAGCGCATCTCATCGAGCCTCGAGTCTACTTCACATTATGCTACAGTGTCTTGTATTTCGGTCTCTTGATTCGCAATCAAACTTTCCCGAGTCCCCCAAGCATGAAGCTAGGGGACTCCGCTTGCCTAATCACTATGAGACCTTGGCGTAAAACTAGGGGTTCGCTGTGCGAACTTATGACCTTGCTCTGGAGAATTTTTAATTCGTGGGAATCGGCCTTGTCGACCTCTTCCAACACTCGTCGTTTTCGGACCCCAAAATCTGCGTGACGGCAGTCCTAAGTCTGCTTGTTTTTCGTTTTCACTGCGATAAGTCATTTTTTTTCAGCCAATTAATAGGTTGGCCTTTAGCATATTCGATGTCGTCTTCAGCTTGGTCCTAATATTGCCTTTTGAGCATGTTCGATAAGCCGATTAAAACATCATAACAGCACGCAAAATGTACGAAAGTTCAACAAATCCAAATAGACCAATGCGGCTTCACGCGCTCTACCATCCTCACTATATCATCCCGTGATTTTTGCATCTGCTGAAATGTTTTGTATTCCAGATCTGGGCACCATGCGATTGCTCTTGCACTCGAACATAACTGGGAGGCTCTTCATCGCGTGACACTCTTTGAAGTTTGACTCCCAACTTCAACTACATACGCATGAAATGGCGACCGAAAGAGATCCGTTGATCTCAAATGGAACACAAGATCATTGTCCACCTGGCCCTCGAGACATTTCAAGGTCGACACGTTACAAAATTTTGGTTGGTCTGTGGTCTAGGTGCCCAACCTACAATTAGATCCAAAGTCAGCGAGTGGTTCATCGACCGTTCGAAATACATCCCTCTTCGACGCTGCACTTCAGGTATCCGAGTTATAGTATTCAGCGCTTACTCTTCCGGGCGAGCAGAATCGAAGCACTCGAGTGCTACCGATCGTCCATATCCTCTCTCTTGTTCTCGTTCTCCTCCTTGTCTTCTTCCCTTCTCCTGCTCTCGTCCATCGTCCGTATTCGTCTGAGCCACATCAGCAGTTGCTGACGTGTGCTGGGCGTTTGCGCATGGTATTCATGGTTTTGGGAACAGCATGGTGGAGCTCGGACATCAATTACATGGCCGCGGCTTGCATGGGCCTAAGCCCCGGCTTTGGGCCGGCTTGGGCTCACGGCTCAGGCTTGAAATCTAGCGAACCTAAACCCCCCCCCCCCAAGCCGAGCCTAAGCCGGGCCGGAACATCACTAATTTAAAATTGTATCATGACATCGAGATCGAGCTCAGAGTTTGACTGTACTAGGGTTCGGCGTTGCCGAATTTAACCTTGCTTGTCTGCACTCTTACTAAGCAGATACACGCAGATACGCGCAGGCTGCTATATTCTCTTGTATTGCTTCGTACAGTGCTACGTTGTGCTACATGTTTGTCGATAATTGGCTGTGCATGATACTGTTCGGCGTTGGTTGCGAATTTATATGCATGTATACAACCAGCTAACCTGTTTAGACTGGATTGTGATTGTAGAAACAAAGCCGTATACAGTTTATTGATATTTATTATTGTTTATTATTGGCAGAAAATCCCACACACATTGTCACATGCCATATGACCTTGCAAGCAAGGTGATTTCATCGAGACCAAGTTCTGAGTAGCTAATTGGATACTTTATGAAGTAGTTTTGTGTATTCATATTGACGCAGTTCTATCATTTTCGATTATTGCACAGCATGATGTTCATGTCAGGTGACTGACAGATTATCTGCCATCCGACATGACCTTGCTCCGCAAGGTAATTGATTCAACACCTGAAACAAGGTGGAATAAGAGTCTGTGACAGATTCCAATCAAATTGAGGGATAAATTCTTAGTATGGAATACAATATGGTCTACATCAAAATTCATGATCAAGGCCTGAAAGGTCTACAGTCAAGGATGGGTCGATGACCCAGGATGGCTCTATGAATCATTTTCTACATAACATCATGATTATACACTTGTACACATTCAACACACCTCATTCCCCTGCTAAATACACGTCTCTTGGACTCTTAAAAACCGTGTCAACTTTGAGAGCAAAGCCAAGCTGTCTGCTCTTCGTTTTGGCCAGCTAGAAAAAGAAAGCGCATCATGGGGTGGTGGCAGAATAATTGAATGGTAAAAGGATACCACTTCAGCACCATACTTCATTTTGTTCGGGGGCTGTCTGTAAACGGTTCACGATCACCCATACGATTTGGAGTGTATCGAGAGATACTCGATGCGTGGTAACACCAAGGGCTACAAGTTCATTATTATAATCGTGCCTGTTTGAAGATATACAAAGTTAGGTGTAACGGAAAATTTGAGTCGGTTAGAGAACGAAAAGACTCCAGAATGCAAGACAGACTCCTTTGCACGAAGATTCAAGTTTCTAGAATAAATGCCTCTTATTTGCCCGGTGCGCATAGTTCCCTGATCACGTTCTCATCGATCCTCTTCGCAAAGCATATTTCAAACGGAGCAGCATGTATGTTTGCAGTGTCAGAGAATGCAAGCGTGTCAATCTTCGCTCCAGGATTCTCCGAAAGGCGGAAAGCCCACAGAATGAGAGCCGTGGTGATGAAGACCGACCGATTCGCGACATGTTGACCAGGACAGACTCTGATATTTTCAAGTAAGGCATACGAAATGGTCGAGAGTCAAATAATACCACTCACCGGCGGCCAAAGCCAAAAGTAAAGAATCGGAGATCACTGCGCACACGACCTGCATCGTCGATCCAACGCTGAGGATTAAACCTGTGTGGTTCCGGGAAGATTTCAGGGTCGTTTGCGATAGCCCTGAAGCACGAGCGTCAGACCCAAAGGTGAGAGGACGAAAATGATTGCCTACTGACCAATGGTTCCCAATCACAGTCGCACCTGCCGGAATGAGGTAGTTCTTCCAAACGATGTCCTTAATCGCGCGATGCGGAAAGCCTGTAGTGCAAGGTGGTCGATCATTATCACGTCATTATAGCTCAACTAAGACGTACCTCCAAGACTGACAGGTCTCCACCTAAGACTCTCGAGCATGAATGCGGTAACCTGCGGCAGCATTTCCTGGTCATCAAAAGTCGGCACTAATCAGGAGCTATGTGAGTCAGTAGATGAACAAAGAAAAGGGATAACCTACGCCGCATACGCCCCACGACGTTATCGAGTTCCTCTTGTACGCGAGCCTGCGCATCTGCATGAGTGGCAGCAGCCATCATCATAATTGTGATTGCAGACGCAGTCTACAACAGTTGTCGAGTGAATACGAGATGCAATGTAAGAGCTCACCGTATCAGAACCGGCCCCAAACATCGTTCCTGCAATGTATGTCAGGTCGTTGTCTTCGAGCTGGTACTGTTTCTGGTGCTCTAACATGAACCTCGCAAAGGATGGCCTTGCAGTCCCCTCACGCTTCACAGTGGTGAGCGAGGACGTATATCGTCACAAGAAAACCACGGACCATTTGTCTTCGCACCGCGTCCAACTGCTCGTTAAGAAGAGCGAGTTCTTCTTTGTGCCATGACTTCAGCTGACTCAGGTAGCCTGGGACGAAACGCAGGATTGGATACGCATCCACAAGATATGCTCCCGGCTTCATAGCTTCACCAAAACGCGCAAGAACCTTATTGATGGCAACAACTTCAGGATCTGTATATGAGGTCGGAGTAATTTTTCCATAGGTGAAGGACATGACCACAGAAGCTGAATAACTTAAATGCTCGGATTACCACCTGTACTACGCAAGAAAGAGCTAGTGTTCGCACCGCATGGCATGACCTTGGTGGTTCTTTGGATCATTCAAGACATCTAGAACCAGATTCTTCGCATGTTTCGTCTGGATGGGCTCATAAGTCTCCGCAACCTTGGGTTGCAAGCCTGCATGCAAGACCCTGCTTTACATTCAGTCTCGCTGATCGCACCTGGTGGAAACAAGATGTGTACCTGCGCAGCCGGCGGAATCTTTCAGTAGAGCCCTCAAGGAGCGGTCCCAACCCGCCACCCAATGTCTCATGCACTGCAATAGAACGCGGACGGTCGGCAAGAGTTGCTCCCTCTTTTTCCATGATATCCACTGCAGCCTATGATGTGATCTTCTTCATGTCTGGCCAGACAATGTGTTATTTTATACTGACCTGATGACGTCCTATCACTACGAAAATCCTATGGCCTTGTTTGAGCGAGAACACAGGTCCGTATTGCTCTGTCCATCTCGCGAATTGAAATGGCACACTGCGTAAGGGGTTAGATAGAGATCACAGCGATGTCCCTTGACAAAGACTTACTATGACTCTGGCATCGTATTTCCTAACAGCCAACGTCCAGGCGGTCCAGGCGGTAATGGCAACCGTCTTGCAACCTGGTATCGTTGTTTTACTATCCAGACGCTGGCTAAGATAATGATAAGGGTGCATGCAATGATAATCGCCATTGAAACGGTCCGGCTTTCTGATAGTCACGATTCAGACACCCCGCTACTTTGCAACACGTTCAGTACTCGAGAACAGACAGGTAGTGACTTACTGTGATGAGCGACGAGTACGGTGAGATTAGAGTGCATGATTAATCATTACGCTGACTTATACTTATACAAACATGGATTGAACACCTGCGGCGTGCGCGGATTAATTAAACCTGTGCGAATCATGTATTGCAAATTGTCGGAACTTCTTTTACGGCATTTTGATTGTAATGGCCTGGCCTGATTCTGATCAGATTCTGATTCAACAGTCAGCATTTTGATGACCATTATAAGTGCATTACGACCGACATTTCCCACAGGTTCGTGTCGCATTATTTGCTGTACTTGTAGCGCACCTGCGATGCATTCTTGCTACAATTGTAGCGCTCTTCCCTCCCCTGCAGTACTGCGTCCTGATGCATGCATGATGCATCCCCTCCTCTGCAGTGCCTGTGTCCTGTGTGATGCATCCCTCTCTCTTGTTTATGCATTCGTCTCGCTGATGTATTCCCCGCAGCTAATGCATTCCCCGCCGCTGATGCATTCCCCGCCGCTGATGCATTCCCCGCCGCTGATGCCCTCTCGCTTCGGATGCATTCCACACTGCCCGCCCTTCATACATTCCCCATGATGCATCCCGCCCTTTGCATTCCACCCTTCAATACCGTCACAATT